GTTTTCTGTATACACTACAATACAAGCAGTGTTTCGTTGATTGCGGGTTTGGTATATTTCTTGCAGTAGAAAGTAAGAAACGCAAGAAATGGGAGGTGCAAAAAACTGGGAGAAAGTGCACGAAATACATATGCGCCATTTAGCCACGCGCCGTATGAAGTGCAGGGCGCAGTTTTTAGCACCTTGCATCTCTTGCAAGTCGAAATATTTACCTGCAAGAAACCACTTTCTTCCCATTATTTATTGCACTTTCACCCGAAACACTGCCAGCAACTAGACTGAAATAGTTTTGTGTGGGAAATGGGGAATTGAGAATGTGCAGGAAATGAGCAAGTTGAACTGCTACAAATCCAGACAGAGTAGACATTCTAGTCGCCGTTAAAGCCGCGTCATTGTGTACAAATGGATCGGGAAGGAAGTGCCTTGCATTTTCTTCTCACGGCAAAGCAAAGTCCTATCTCGCCTCATTCAAAATTTAGGGCAGCCTCAATTACAAATACAAAGATAAAAATGTTCGTACGCAGTAAAGGCTTCTCGCCATAAGTACACCTGGTACCATTGGTAAATTTCGAGGCACAAATTATAGTGTAAATTTCGAGTTTTGAAATCTGTTACACAAATTGTAGCTTTAAAATTAAATAAAATTTTTTTAACCAGCCCAAATTAAACCTGATGAACGAGCAAAACTTTATGACAGAGTTGTAATATGCATCATTTTCAGACGATATTATGGTTTGATTTTATAAATGAGGGCTTGCCCACAATAAGATTTGAAAATTAAAAACTTTCTTCTTTAAAAAAAACAAACCATAATTCTTTGGAAAATTTTCTGGCAGGATATTCCTTTTCTAATTGCTAATACAAAATAATCTGCCAGGAAACCTTTCAGATTTTTTTGCGCCTATTAATTTTAACTGAAAGTAGAGTGAAAACAAATGCTTAGAGATATAGGAATTTATTGTAACATTCCGTTTATGAAGGCACAATTTTAAACATCCACATAACAATGATGGCATGGCATAAATGCTTAAAATCTCTAAGCTGACACACGCCCACGTTTGCTTTCTGTCGAGTAAAAATTATCCATCAGATCAACTCAGACTTTCACCATGTCCAAAATTCTCTTAAACCACTGCACCCTTCGTACATACACTTTCGTATCACAGAAAACACCACATTTTACCACAAGCAATCATTTACTTCCAAACTCTGGAGCCTCAATTGAATTCAACTCTTCCATCATCAGTGTTAATGTTGCGGAAAAGAGAGATGAGATGAGATGAGGCCCGAAATCCACCTAACTCACATCACATTCATTCATTCATTCATCCCCCGCAACGAAGCAAGAGATGACCATCTGTAATCTGTCCAGACTTCAATCCTTCTCCTCGCACCCTCCAAATAAACTTTCACCACCACGCAGTGACCGCGGACAGAGGGACAATGTCCCCATGGTTATTCGATGTCCTCATCATCTCCCCATGTTATATAAACCCGTCTCTCCCCTATCCTACAATGTTAATGTCCCCACATGTCCCCACAGCTTCCGCGGCCACTGCCACCACCACCACGAAGCAACCAAAACGGACGGGATGATACCGATAGAATTTTAACCAAACGAAGCAAACTTTCCCTCAATCGAATTTCTTTTTCTCGGGCCTGTAAAATAAACTGGATTTAAGTTTCGGACTTGGTGGAAGAAGGAAGAAAATTTGTAAAGTTCCACATGAATGGAGAAAGTGGTTAGTGCTGGCCGTGTTCTCAACTCGGTTCGTGTTCAATCTTTATTTTATTGTGGAAATGGGATTTCTGTATTAAATTTATATTTTCTTTTAAAGAAATTGGAAAAATCTTGGGTTTTTTGGGGAAAAATATGTATAGGAAAAGTTAGGCGTAATTAAGTTTGTGTATTTTTTCAAATTTGGTTCCTTCACAATTTCCTGGTATCAAGGATGAATTGAAGTTTAAATTTTTAAATTTTGGAGAAAGTTGGATTTAAAAAAAATTGAGAAAGTTGGACTTACAAAATGGAGAAAGCTAAATTTAAAAAAAATGGCGAAAGTTTAATTTTAAAAAATGAAGAAAGCTGAACTTTAAAAAATTGGAGAAGGTCAAATTTAAAAAATTCCTCCCACACTCCAAACTTTAAAACAAAATTCCTCAAAACAGTTATTAATCATTGCGCATAATTATGTAGTTCCGACATAAAATTCCTATCCAAGTTTGAAATTACTCTCCCCCTTTTAATTGCTCTTTTCCCCAGGACTCATTTGTCTAGACTAAATAGAAGCCTGAAACAATACGCTCGTTGTAGCTGTCGTACGGTCTGTGAAAAAGTTTCCCTGGCGTGAATTTCTTTCTCCAAAGAGAAAGCAAAACTTTCTTTTTCGCATTTTACGTCACTAAAAACCTGGGCATGGCATGGTCAAGACGTGGAACGACTTATTTGGAAAGTTTTACAAGAACTACATACTACTCAACTGCATTGGTGAAGTGGGGAGGAGGCATATGTTGGCTGGGTGGGGTAGGTACGAATGCAACCAGTGGCCGCTGAATCGTGCGGACAGAGGGACAATGTCTCCACGGTTATTCAATGTCCGCATCATCTCCCCATGTTATATAAACCCCTGCCTCCCCTAGCCTACAATGCTAACGTCCCCACGGCTTCCGCGGACACTGAATGCTTATTCTTATCGAGTTTCACTTATTTTAAGACATTTGCGTCGTCGTGCCAAGAAACAATACATTAACGTGTCGTGACACATTGAAGAATTGATCGCGACTGGGCAAATGAATGTATGCGTATGCACATATTTTTGAAAGTGAGACTTGTTCTTGAAAATTATTTACTGCTTTCTCTCTCCCTTCAAATGTCCGACTGAGATAAGTGTTTTGCACTTCAAAGTCTAAAATTATGTATCGTGTTGAGTTTCGCCTGAACACTTTAAATACATTAAAAACATTGGGTTTACTTTGGAAAAAGGGAATGAAACCGAAGTACTTTTCCATTTGCGAAATAGGTAAAAAAAACCACTTGACCCAACTTAACTTTCTGTTTTTTTCTACTGGGACCACAAAACTCTGGAGTTGCATAGTACTAACTTTAATTAGACTAATGTATCGGGAAGTTAAGTAGGGACGACTAATTGGAACGTCGTGACAAGCCGTGTTTACTCAAAATATAGGTGTTTATGTACACTCTTAGAAATCCGGTATTAAAATAATACCAAGCCGTATTCAAATACAAACATATGACTTTTTCAAAGTGGTATTGATAAGTAATACCGTGCAGTAATAGCTTGGTATTAAAGTTTTACCATATCAGTAACAAATTTTTAAGGACCGGTATAATTTTAATACGAAGCGGTAGCAACGTTAATACCGAGAAATCAATTTCTACCTGACTATACCAGATTTCTACACTCTTAGAAATCAGATATTAAACTAATACCAAGCTGTATTCATATACAAATGACTTTACCAAAGTGGTATTAACATGTAATACCGTGCAGTAATACATAGCTCGGTATTAAAGTTTTACCATATCAGTAGCAAATTTTTAAGGACCTGCATAATTTTAATACAAAGTGGTAGCAACTTTACTACCGAGAAATAAATAATACCTGCCAAAATATACCAGATTTCTAACAGTGCAGCTGACCAGACCAAAGTTAACCTAATGCAACATGTTCCACTTTCTCCACCGAAAGAAATTTCCCATGAAAAAAAAAACTAATAATTGACGTCGATATTATTTATGAAGCTTTTGTATGCCATGTCGTAAGTGGATATACGGTGTAAATTTTATCGATTTTAAAACTCCGTACATCAAGTTCTGTTAGCAAAACGAGACCACCAAACCAACCAGCAAGTTTGACTCCGTCAGGAAAAACCACGTTTTTCTCTCTCTCGTTTACAATACCTCTCAGCAATTCGACCCTACTTTCACTACCTACCTTGTGAAAGTCAGAGACCAAAGTTCAGTTCACTTTCCCTCTAATATTTCATCCCAACACAAAAGAGATTTTAGTCTGATGAGAAGGCATCGATCGGAATGAAAAATTATGTGTTTTTGAACAAAGCAGAAGGCTGAACTAGATCAAATTTTCGAGAATAATAAAATATTGATACACTTTCTCTTCGTGTGTCGTTTGATTATTTTGTGTGTGTATCAGTTTGCCTCGTTTTTGCAGGTTTGTATGCCATACAAAATGGTGAGGTTCGAAAGGTCACGTTACATAAATTCGCAATCACGATATTGATACGCTTTCTAAATTGGTGAAAGTTTGACTGGACCGGTGCCGTTTGATTATTTGGCGTGTATCAGTTTGCCTCATATTGTATGCAGGAGAAAATCTAGTCTGACCAGTTTTTTGGTGGGAAAGGGCCTCATTTTGCAAAAACGCGAGGTTTGAAAGGTTAGGTTATATAAATTCACAATCATAATTATTGACACACTTTCTACTCGTTCGGTGAAAGTTCGTCTGGACTGAACTGGTGCCGTTTGATTATTTGGCGTGTGTCACTTTGCCTCTTTTTTATTCAGCAGAAAACCCAGTGTAACCACATTTTTCGTGGGAAAATTGTATATCGTGCAAAAATACGAGGTTCAAAAGGTTAGGTTACATAAATTCGAAATCATAAATTATGATTCATAATTATTAATACACTTCTCCTCCTTTGGTGAAAGTTTGTCTGGACTAGTGCCATTTGATTATTTCCCGTGTATCAATTTGCCTCAAAATTATGTAGCAAAATCCAGTATTCCCACAGTTTTTGGTGGCTTTATTTTGTATTCCGTACAAAAAAGCGAGGTTTGAAAGGTTACATAAATTCGCAATCATACTTCCTACTCGTCCGGTGAAAGTTTGTCTGGACTGGTGCCGTTTCATTATTCCGTGTGTATCAATTTGCCTCGCAAATATTCCGCACAAAATCCAGTATGACTTGACCACATTTGTTAAAAGGTTACATGCAATAAATTCGCAATTATCACGTACCAGCAAAAACGGTCAAGTTGGCTGAGGCCGTGACTGGATCACCCACCCCGTTTTCCGCCATGCACTCGTACGAAGCATCGTCCCGTAGCTGGAAATAGAAATACGTAGAAATTTGTAAATGGGAAATATATTATTAACGCGGCAGAAATAGATTAAAGGGTAAAATTGTATATTACGTACATGGCGGACAGGTTCTATTCTGAGCATCGAGACACCCGCGAAATTCTGAATGTTGATCCTAGAATGCACGCTCGTCAGCTTTTTTCCATTTTTCCTCTGTAATAAAAAAGATTCGTTATACAATTTTCTTTATTTGTTCCGCACAAGCTCGACGACTTGCATAACGGGGAATAAGTAAGTAAATATGTAGGCGCTAAATTTATTTTTACCCAGTGAACTTGCGGAGCCGGATCGCCCGTAACTCTGCAGTAGAATGTCGCGATGGCACCAACTTTCACCCTCTGGTCCTTCGGTTTCTCCACGATTTGAGGTGGATCTGCAAATAGAGAATAAGGGAAAAGAGTTAGTACAAATCTTGGATTTTTGTATATGAAGATTTTTGTCTCATATTTCCACAAAAAAAATCGAATAATTTTTACGCAGAAATTTACTGTTCGTTAAAAAAAAATTGAGACACAAGTCCTTAAATTTTTTAAAATTAAAAATTTGTTTGTTGCAGCTTAAGCAATCTGCCAGATATCCTCTCAGATTTTTCTGTCTCTATTTTTCTGAACGAACGTGACGACGATTTGTACAGGATTCACTATAATTTTGAACGGATTTTTGTCCAAAATTGTGCAAACTTTAGACACTTTTTTTGACGACGTACTGACTGTAAACCCCCCTCTCCCATCGACACCCTTGATCTCTCCTCGCTTTTCCCATAATTAAGCAATTTGACACGCTGACTTTCTCCCAGAAAAAAACTGGTGTATTAGCTCGCTCCTCCTGACAAAAAACTCGATTACAAAACTCCTAACTGCAGTGTAGAATTTCTCAACTTGAACAAAGATCTCGCCATTGAATAAGAAGGAGAAGAAATCAAACGAGGTGATTTTTCACCCAGATTGCTTTCTTCACTCCTTGAACGGAACAGCAGTTACGCCAACTCCTCCGTGTCATATTCTTCTCTGCAATTTGAGACAAAATCAATTTAAGACGCGCTTTCACCTACCCACGCGCCCACCCTGCCAGGCAAAATTTTATCCTCCTTTTTTCTCCACTAAACTTAAAAAAATTAGGCCTAAAAGGAAATCAATGTCGGGTTATATTAAGCAAGCATTTGCCAAAAAATGGGGGTTCCCGCCTACGCTTTTTTTTGCTAATAGTTTACTTTCTCCGGAAAAGAAAATGGTGGTGAAAGTACAAAATTACGGATAGTGCTTTCTCACCACACCACAAACCCAATAATAATAATAATAATAAGAGGTGAGACCTCGTATGCACATATCTCGCACTTATGTGCATACGATAACCACAACTCGACCGAGAGGTTACTTTCCTCCAAAAAAAATTCACTCACAACAAAATGACCCATTTTAACTTTTAGGGAAAGAACCCCATTACACCTTCGCGTCAGAGATGAACCTTAATGTGTAGCGTTGAAGTAAAGTAAAGTGAAGAACAGAACACAAGCTAGTGGGGAAAACAGGGCAGAATTTCTTTCTCTTTTTTGCAGTGAAAGTGAACCCGGGTTTCTTCTAAAGGCAGAAAAAATACGGCGGAATGGCAAGAAACGAACCGCACTCATAATTTTATAGTTCCATTCCCCCTCCTTTAAAATATTAGATGGTTGGTGCATCCCACCAGCAGGATGATCAGTGGCCGCGGAAGGGTGGGGACAATTACCTCACGGATATTTATTGTCCCCATCGTCTCCTCATGCTGTATAAACCCCACCCTCCCTTGTCCTACAATGTTAACGTCCCCACGGCTTCCGCGGCCACTGCGACACGATGTATCCTAGTCACCCTAATATGTACTACTTTCCCTCTCTGGTTGTTACTCCTTGGACTATTTCATCTTCATGGGTTCACGCGTAAAAGTGCCCTTAATACGAATATGGATCATTTCCATCTGCTTTCTCCAACAGAAAATGGGAAATAAAGTCGGTCCTATTTTTTTCTCTTTCTCCAGACAAAATTGGGGTAGGGCTACGAGGGGAAAGAAAACGTGGCGAGGAATAAGGAAGAAAGAAGAGACGACCATTCCGGGTTAGATTAGCATAAGAAAATATTATGTAGATCGAGACTAGGCAGAATTTACAATCTCAAAAAGTAGGATACTTTCACTTCCTGTATGTACGGACGGACGGGACCCTAAAGATTTCAAGATATGATACATACCAGACTTGCAGAGAGAAATGATCTGCCGTATGCGCGTGTATTTCCTTCCAACTCATATGTAAAAGTGTCAGGGGTGGGCAAAATACGGTGTCAAAATATGGACAGTATTTTGATCTTAGTTGTTCCCAGGGTTTGGATTTCTGAGGCTGTTACACCCACAAAAAGACGAGAATCTACGTGGAAAAGACAACATTTTTACGAAAATATAGGTTTTGTGAAGAAATTAACTTTTTGTCGCGGTTAAAATACTTCATTTTTTAAAAACAATGCATTTTGACAACGATAAAAAGTTAATTTCTTCACAAAAACCTGTATTTTCATACGACTGTTGCCTTCTCTACGTCGATTATCATCTTTTTGTGGGTGTAGCAGCCCCAAAAATTCAAAACGGAGCTTAAAATACTGTCCATATTTTGACCCCGTATTTTGCCCACCCCTGAAAACTATACTCCTAAAACTTTGCTTGGCAGGATAACAAGAGACAAAGTAGTAGAGGCGAGCGCTTGCATGGAATTCTGGATAAGAAAATTTTCTTCTGCCCTGTTTTCTGTCCCACTTTATTACTCGTCCAAAGTGTTACTGACACTTGCCCGGGCCGGATAAGTATACAAATATTAATATAAAATGGGAAATATGAATATGACTTTTCTTCTCATACACCATTTGAATCATTCTTCTTCTGCGTCGGAGAGTCAGTGTCTAGTGTACTTTTGGGGGTGAAAAATGCACATGTGAAACAAATGGGACAGCGAAGGGGTGTCATCATCAGCATACAGTGGCCGCGGAAGCCGTGGGGACATCGGGGGACATTAACATTGTAGAATGGGGGAGGGACGGGTTTGTAAATATAACATGGACAAATGTAGGGGACATCGAATAACCCTGGGGACATTGTCCCTCTGTCCCCTCACGCTTCCGCGGCCACTGATCATCACCATATACGTAGACACGAGGACTGTATGGATGTACACATATCACCAGTGGCCGCGGATACCGTGGGGACATTAACATGGTAGGATAGGGAATGGTTTATATTGCATGGGCAGATGATGGGGACATCGAACAACCATGTGGAAATTGTCCCTCTGTCCCCACCCTTCCGCGGCCACTGACCATCACCACCATACATATACGCAGATAGACACGAGGCCTGTATGTACACGTGTAGGAATATGTATCAACTCACGAGTCAAATATTGAATATACGGGTAGAGAGCGGAGAAATTTGAACCTGAAATATTATTTTTTTAGCTTTATAAGAATAAAGTTCTTCTCACCATTTCCTTCTTTTCTCCCGTCGGGTAAATATGCGAAGCTTAAGTCACCATCATTTTTCATTCCGCGAGTGAAGAAGTTCCACTCAAATGCACAGTCGAAAAGAGAAAAGAGATAAGAAGAGGAGAAAGTAAGTGATGGGAGGAGGTTGGGTGAAATGTATGTACGGAGACGCAAATTATCTTATGCGTAGCTGGATGAAAGCAAAGTTTTCTAGCTTTTTTTACCGTGGCGTAAGGTAAATGACAATGCGTCAAATTTGTGTGGACTGTTACATTTTGCGTGCATAAGTAATGATGTATATGACGACACATTTGTCAAGTAGGAAACTAATTGTTATTAGGTGTGACAAGTTGCATGTGTTCGATCGAGATAGAATTTAGCAGAGTTGTAGGATGGGGAAGTCGTGAAAATCAAAAATTTGGAAATTTTTGGCATGAAAAATAAATTCCCAGAGTTTTGGACATGACATAAATACCTTAAATAGTAATAGAATATAAACACAAAATTGTACCAATTTAAAGTTTGATGCTTGCATCAGAGTTGCAGAATTGGCAAGGATATGAAAATGCATTTGTGCAATTTGACCATGAAAATAAATTTGCGACATTTTGACAATAAAAATAAATTTCTACAATTTTGAGCGTATAGATAAATCAAGTTCTAGAGCAAAATAATTCTCAGAAATTTATCCATGAAAATAAATACTTCCGAAATTTAGTGCAACATTGGTGGCATAAGTTTAAATTCAGGGGCAAATATGGCATCCCATAAATAAATAAATGCCCTCTCCACATACAAAAATACAACTCCAAATGCACAACAACAACAACAATATTAATTCCATCAATGAAATGTGCTTCATGTCCATAAAATACTTTTGGGAATGGAAAACACACGTAAATATTTACACACACCACCCCCACGAAACGAAATCTAATCACGGAAAAAATGCACTTAATTCGAAATACATGTAGATCCATGTAAGTAAATATTTCGTCTTCCTCTCTCATGACCAATTCGCCTTCGCCTCCTCCTCCGCAGAACGACGATGATGTTTGCATTATAACGAGAGAACCACTACTTTGATGATGCTTACATACATGTTTTCCTCCCTGCCTGCCTGCCTCCTACTCCTTGAGGTGCACTTAACTTTTGAACGCATAATGAGGTTATACCCTAAGTGCTTTCATTACTTTAATCGAAACATGTCAACGAGCCAGGAAAAAGCAAGGAAGGCAAAAACGGGAAGAAAGATGAGATTCCATTCAATGAAGTGATGTTGGTAGTGGGTGTTGGTGTGAGTAAAAAGAGAAATTTTAATTTTTGAAAATGTTAATCAAGGGAACTTTACCCTTTAAAAAATTATGTAACAAATTTATAAAAAAAATGAAATCAAAAAGGTTAAATCAAAAAGGTATGAAATCAAAAAAGAGAAATTTTAATTTTAAAAATGTTTACGTTTTGAAAATCGAGGACATTTTCACTTTAAAAAAATTACGTAACACGCAAAAAGTATGAAGTAAAAAAGTCAAAAGTTCAAAAGTATTCTTGATGTAGGTGACAAACAGAGAAATTTAAAATTTTGAAAATGTATACCTTTTCAAAAATCAAGGCGAATCTTTAAACCCTTTGAAATATTACGTAACTTGTAAAAGATTTTAACAAAAGATTTTGAATCAAAAAGGTCAAAAGTTCAAAAGAAATGGATGAATTAATTTGACATTTATTCGGTTTTTGTTTTCATGGTGTGGGCGGAAAATCTATAATATTCCTTTTGAGATTTTGAATGCAAATCGGCTATTTATAATTTACAATCTACCCATATTTGACATAACGGATGTATGTATGATCACTAACTATTGACATCCTCCTACAGGCTCGCATTTTAATGGATTTTATTATTTACAACGGGACGACCCACTCACAAAACCTGAGGGCTACAGACGTACAAATACTTTCTCCCGGAGAAAGTAGTAGATGCCGATTTAAAATTGGTTTTCCACCAGCAAACCAAACACCATCAAACCGCATACATGCATAATATCGAAGCTCCTCAAATACCGCGCTGTGGTAGTGGATCCAGTGGCCGCGGAAGGAGTGGGGACATTAAAATTGTAGGATGGGGGAGGAAGGGGTTTGTATAAGATGGGCAGATGATGCCGACATCTGGGGACATTGTCCCTCTGTCCCTACGAACGTTTCCGTGGCCACTGAGCTGGATCAGATCAAAGATTTGTATGTATGTTAACTCGAGAATGAAAAAAGGTATGTATATTGGTTTCCTGTCGTTTCGAATTTGAAATTTGGACTGAAGTAAGTAGGTCGTTTTTTTCTGTGTCGTCTTCTTCTCCTTACAAACAGGTGAAGATATACTTTTGGTCAAATTGAATTTCGATTTGGTGGGATAAAAGGGGAGAGAAAATCTTCAAAAGTGTGGCCACAAAGGAGAGTACAAGGAATTTTCAATTCTGGTTAAGAAGTCAAGTTGTACAAGAAGAGAGAGAGAGATGAATAGATCAGATAGTAAATAGCGCTGGGGAGTGGATGGATGCAATTCAAGAGTTGTGGAAGTGTGGGGGGACAATGGGGACAATAATGTTCTGATAGAAATACTGGATTTTTGCAATGTTCGTACACTCAAAATATTGAAGTTATGACCAAAATCATTAGAATAAGAATTGGTAAAGATTTGTCATCGAATTTATCAAACATTTCTGAGAATTTCAAATCTGACACTAGAAATTTATTGGTAGAAATTTTTACTCTCCGACTACGCGATTATATTACCAAATTATTTTGACTGCATCTTGCCAATTTTTGTGCGAAACTTGAATTTTACACCAGAAATTAATTTTAGCTTGGTAACAATTTTGAATCTCTGACTATAAATTTTGTGGTGTTGATTTTACTACCAAATTATGTATTTAAAGTGCATCTCTTTCTATGTTTTATTGTCCCCTCACAGTCCCTCCGCAGCTCTTGCATGCAATGATACCCAAAATCAGGAAAAAAAACCTTCCACTGATCGTACCAGAAATTCCATCGTGCATTTCCCTCGCGTGTGAGGATGTTTCCAATTCTCTGAGGAATTTACTTTCTATTTGATGAGGAATGGAATTAAATCGTGCTGTTTGTCTATTTATCTACTGAACGAGATACTTACATACATATTTACACGGGGGGTTAAATTTAACCGTAATTTTATTAAAATCTTGACAGTGCTTTGTTACATAACCTCTTATCTTACTTATTATTTGTCAAGATGACGAAGACGACAAAACAACGCGTGGGCAGAGAGAGAGAGAACTCTAATTAATTAGAATTTGACAACTTTCTCCGCGAAAATTCTACCATAAGTTAATATTGAATCAACACTTGACATCCCACACTCGGGAAAAATCTTTCACCAAACTAACTAAATAAGACCAATATTTGCTTTCTTTCTTAAAATGGGATTATGTTAAGTGTAAGACTCGGATTTTGTGGAAATTTTGAAATTATGACGTTTAAGTCAATACAGTAAGTAACGTAAGTAACGTTTCTTGAGGGAATTTGTCCGATCGTCAGAATTAATCAAAATTTTTGAGTCCAAACTTGAAAAATTAGCGATTTTTTTTTCCCAAAACTCGAATTTTCTTTGTAAAAATTGTCAATTTTTCAACGTTGACTTCGGAAATTTTGAAAAATTCGGACCATCATCAAACTACCTCAAGAAGCGTAGCTTGTATTTACTTAAACTTCATAATTCTAAAGTTTCCACAAAATCCGACTGTTACACTTGACACCATCGCATTGTTTAGCACGACAAACTTTCCCTGCAGCAATAAAGTCGATCTTTACTTCTTATTCTTCCAGTTGTGTGCCACTGATTGTTAAGGTTTTCTGGATGATTCAAATGTGTAAAGTTTGGCAACATTAAAAAGCAAAGTTTTCTTCTTCCTCCTCGTCGTCCCGTTTCGTTTCATTTGACGAGGCAGCAAAACTTGGAACTCTGCAAAGTTTCCTCGTTTCATTTAATTTGGATAAAGTAAAGACACAACAGGACAAGAAGCGAGGAACAAACAGGTGAGATGATCAAGATATATTGAGATTTGGGCTGAATTTAGCTCAGAAAACAAAAAACGGTACCGATTTAAAGTTTTATGCTTGTAGTAGAATGGGCATACATTTGTAGCGTTTCGGGCATGGAAATAAATTTGTGGCATTTTAGGCATAAAAATAAATTCTAGGGATTCCGGGCATGAAAATTTAAATAAATTATAGGAATTTCGGGCATGAAATAAATTTGAGATATTTTGGGCACGAACATGAAGTACAATTTTTAAACTACTTTCTGAGCTTTACTATAAACACTTCTTTGCAGATCTGAAATCTTATAATAAACAAGTAAATACAAACTTGACAATTGTAAAATTTACGCCTTCAACATTTTACAAATTCAAAACATTTTATCACTTTTCGAGAATAATTTCAGGAATCAGCAACTTTTCATGAAATTAATTAAATTCCCTCATCCACTACGCACCCCACGAACCAAACCCTCCACCACCACCCTTTCTGAAATCTGCCACGTAATATCTGTAACATAACGTAATAATACTTAAATCTTTTAATTTTGATTTTTCATTCAAATTAAATGAGCTCCATAACCCGAACCCCGACCTGTCACCGCCTTTCTTAAATCCCTATTTCACAATTTATTAAGAAGACTGACGACGAATGAAGGGAAAAAACTCCAGAGTGTAGCCTTCTTTGGCCCGAGTCAGGATGTCATTAAAAATTGAGGTGGGTATAATACGACCACTACAACTTTCCCATTTTTCCACACATTGTGCTCATCTTCCAACTAAGTTTGCTCGTTCTACGTGTGTACAAAATTTCAAGTCGATTGGATAAGTTTTACGTGCGTAATCAATAGACAGACAAAAATTACGGGTACATAAGATCTGATTCGGGCTAAAAACTGTCAAAAACTCAACACACACGTTCCTTCCTGCAATCTCTTTTATTTCACTTGACAAATTTTTCAGATTTTAATCTTTCCCTTCCTTCCCTTTCCCTCCTTTCCTTCGAAGAAAAGCCATGTGTCCCATAGATCATTCCCGTTTCAAGAAACAATCCAAGTAATAAATTCTTTAACCCTTTTTTGATTCCATTAGTCATAGGTAACGCCTCGTGAGCAGAATACGTAGCAGATTTGGGAAGGAATCTCTCCCTCGAACCGGCATCCAGTGGCCGCGGAAGCTGTGTGGGGACATTAACATTGTAGGATAGGGGTTTATATAACATGGGCAGATGATGAGACCGTAGGCACATTGTCCCTCTGTCCACACCCTTCCGCGGCGATTGTTTCATACTCATACATTTGAGTAGCCTGCATTTTCCCAGTGGCCGCGGAAGCCGTGAGGACATCCGGGGACTTTTAACATTGCAGGATAGGGGGAGGGACGGATTTATATAACATGGACAGATAATGCCGACATCGAACAACCTTAGAGCCATTGCCCCTCTGTCCCCCCACCCTTCCGCGGCTGCTACCATTCAACACGTTTCCTAACGAGAAATACGGAACGAAAATTAAGGAACACCGAGAGATACCAAGTTCATAAAACGAGTCAAAAATGAGCTGAGTCGACGAACCCGTATTATATTTTCTGGGAGAGAAAATCGAGCAAAGAAGTTGACTCTGTCTTTGTCTCCAGAGTGCAAAGAAGAGGAGATGATGTAGTGAAATGTCTTTCCGGTTTCTGCTCCTCCGTCTCAAACCCCTCGGGAGATTTGGAACTGAGAAAAGACAACTTTCTTACTCGACACCAACCAAGAATGCGACCTTTTATCCGAGAGAGAAAGTTGGAGAAAAAGTCTCATCAGGGTAATATTTTTAGTAAAATTCCGAAATTATTTACTAATTGAGAAGAAATTTTTATAAATATTTTAGTCGAGGAAAATAAACAATTAAATTGTTTTGCAAGGTTTTTTTAAAGCGTAGGTGGAATAACGCCCCCGGAAAATGGAGGAGACGATGGCATCTTCGTCTCCTCCCAAGAGACAAGCTTGACGAATGATCTGTCAGTAGAAAAATGTCACAATTTCATACTTTTTAGTTTTACAGTTTTGAATCAGATTCATGAAAAGGAGGAAGAAGATCAGAAGAGGAGGAGAAAGTCTTCAAATTTCCGCAACTTTTCCGTAAAGCCAATGGCCGCGGAGGCAGTGGGGACATTAAAATTGTAGGATGGGGGGAGGGAGGGGTTTATATAAGATGGGGAGATGATGCTGACATCGAATATCCGTGTGGACATTGTCCCTCTGTCCCCCCACTCGTTCCGCGGCCACTGCGTAAAACTGTATACTTTGAGTTTATACACGTTTATAAAAGAGGGAGAGGAGAAAGATGAACAAGTGGAAATAGTTGCGTTGCGTTTCGTTTCAAGAGCTTTGAGTAAATGTCAAGAGATTTATTTTGGACGTTTCTTCTTCTTCTTGAGCGCGGGGGAAGGTTGGGCATTAAGTGAGATGAATTTTGATACGGGATTCTCATAATTTATCATTTCTCTTTAAGTTTTAAACGGCGTTTTATTTGTTGGGAAATAAATTTCTGGAGGTTTTGTTTGTTGGTAAATAAATTTTTGAGGGGTAAAAAAATAAGTGGCACGTTTACGCCACGTGTACATACATGTGTGAATAAGAGTGAGTTCTAGGAAATTGTAAATATGCACAGTTATTAACTCACGTTAAACTAAATATATTTGTATTGTAAACTATACCAAGAAATAGATCTTAGATAATTATGCAAATTATTATTGGTAATAATAAACACAAATAAAAATGAATTCAAGGACAGAAACGTATACAGATTTCAAGATAACTACTTGGTCCATTTCATGTATAAAAATCTAATGCTAACAGGTATGCCTACAAGGAACGAGATTCATTCTGCTAAAGTCAACAACTTTGCATATGTACTTGTTAAAAGATAAAGCCATGCTATTCAATTATTATGCAGCCTTCCTGTTACGTATGCATTTTGCATTGACTGACTGATACGTAACGAAAAACCAGTGACGCCATATATCCATTAAACATCTGCTGGTCCAGTTTTAATGACCTGTCCATTAACTCGGATAGCGTCACTCATGGAATTAATAGCGTCTCAAAAAATTCAGGATCAACAACATCAACAATTTATTCCGCATGTTGACCATAATTACAGCATTTTTGCTAAAAACGTACTAAAACTGGAGTATAAAGTGGTTTTTGGAGAACAATAGATCATTGTTACCTCATTCTGTCATCTGAACGTACATACATACACGCTTAACGTGGATATATACGCTTAAAAGGAGGAGATTGTACTGTATTTCATCTAACTAACTTTGCAGGCAAAAATAGTGGTCACTCCACTTTTCGTCGACAATGTAAATGTGACACAGTGTTAATTCTGAGTGGAATTGTGAGTAAACAGAAAATGTTAAAATAGCCGTATTTGCACCCTTCATCAACCCAGTCGCTCGCTCATGGGAACTTGGACAACATCATTAATATCATAGTTCATATAGCACAAATTCTTGCGTCAGTTGACTCACTGTACGCAATATTTTCGGCCAACTAATGAATAATTCGGCCAAAAACCAAAACATCCGTTTCGGCAAAAATAAAAATACAAAACAACAATAATGTTGATCCATCATCCGAGTTGACGTTTGTTTTTCGAACAATTTGATCCCTATTTAACGTCGCGACGAGTCAATTTATACTTCACTTTGTGAAAAACAGCTAAAATGTCAAGAATTCCGAAAAGTGTGGTGATCCTCATCATCTCAATAATTCATTTGCATCTCGTGGACTCCCAGCGTGGGACAATTTACCCGATGACGTTCCAACCAGAAATTGACTCTCTCGATATCGGCGTCTACTTTAGGAACGAGCGGCTCGTGAAATTGCAAATCATGTGCATCTTCTACGGCGGACCGTGCGACATTGCTGGACGCTGGTTGAAATGTAAGTACCTATATACCAGTGACCGCGGAAGTGTGGGGACAGAAGGGCGACAATGTCCCCACGGTTATTCGATGTCGGCATCATCTCCCCATGTTATATAAACCCGTTCCCCCTATCCTACAATGTTAATGCCCCCATGTCCCAACAGCTTCCGCGGCCACTGCTAATGTACAGAAATTTGTATCGACAAGAGGTAAACAGTGTCCGCGGACAGAGGGACAATGTCCCTACGGTTATTCGATGTCCATCTTGTATAAATCCCTCCCTCCCCTATTCTACAATATTAATGCCCCCCATGTTCCCACACTTCCGCGGCCACTGTACCCAGCTAAAAATACCTCTTTTTACGTAATTTGTTTGCATATCTAATTGTATTCTTTATTTATCTGGAAATTCAGCTCGAATGATTCCCGGGATTTTTGGGAATTGTCCAGCCTGCAGTAAACATCAGCAGAAAATGTTGCCAAAATGGATGTGGATGTTCGCTGACCGATACCCGGACAAATTTCGGGCCGTGATTGCACAATGGTTAATGGACCAAGGCTTTACCGTTCCGTCGGAGGAGGTGCCCAAAATTCAGAAAGCGCTCGGGTTTAGAGACCCGGTTAACATATTGTTCCCTCGAAATGTCATTAATGCCACGTATGAAAGTGCCCTGCAAACGAGACAGTTTAAGAGGCAGCCTTCCCTCATCGACTTTTTTGGAAGGACACGAGGTGGTCTGCTGGGTCACTAAGGATAGGTTGATCAGGGGCGCCTTGCAATTTGAGGCGAAATTCGCATTGCAAAAATGCAGCAGAATCGAAGAGCGGAGATTGTCATGCATGTAAACAATCCAGTTCTTAGAGAACCAATGACCGCGGAACGAGTGGGGACGCAGGGACAATGTCCCCATGGTTATTCGATGTCTGCATCATCTGCCCATCTGATATAAACCCCTCCCTCCCCCCATCCTACAATGTTAATATCCCCAGATGTCCCCACGGCTTCCGCGGCCACTGGAGAGAGCTACTTGTAAAGGGTCACAACTTCAAGTCGTATGCAGGTAGCGTCACTTCTAGTTGGCCGTGTGTGTGTTCAGTTAGGTAATGTTGTTCTCATTGCGCAACAAGACACTGACATTGCTCTTTTTCTTCTTGTAAATGACTGATTAACAAAGAGAGATGATAAATATCTAGTCAAACTAATCATTTGTATTCTTGTTTAGTGATTTGTCATTATTTTATTGTACACGTTGAACTAATGATGGGTTAAAAAGCGTGCCGTTTTTTGTAGATATAATTTATTTCAAGTTTGTAATTTCTAGTTTATAGACAAATATGAGCGTATCGATCGATATCCATTTGTTACTTCAGCTTCATTCTGAGAATATAAAGTTATCAAATTCTTCTGTTTATTTAATTGGTTCAAATGTACGACTTTTTTCGCATCTTGCATAATAAACAAATCATCAAATAAAGTCATGAATCGTTTCATCTTCACAAAGGAAAGCGTAATCGGATCGAAAATGGTATTAAATTTATTTAATCAGAATCAGAATTCAGTGTGAATCAGATTATTTACGTTTCATGTTCATACTTAATTGGAATAAAATAAGCCTGAAAATCACATAAATTAAATAATACGCAGCAAATTGAATCAACAAAATAATTAATTTTTAGTATATACGCAAACCAACACACTCTAACTTTTGTGTCCGGAATTCTTTCCCTAAACAAGATGCGACACAACCAAATGAAAATTATAATTAGTAAAATTTCTCTGCAACGTAGAATGTAAGTGACATACGTAAAATTCTAGAAACACTGGATGAACGCATTTAGCGAAAATGTGCCAAGTTTTTCGGACAAAGAATTCCAGAAATGCCGAGCAAAAGGACGAATATAGTTTTAATTTCCGCTTTTCCCTTTTCTTTGCGACTGTTCCGTTTTAATTAATATTTTTGTGTATTTCTTTTTCCGTCTTTCCTGGAACTCTCCAGAGACGCGGATGTCGATGTACTGCACGATTTCATAAAGTGACAGTGTCGCGGATGGATGATGAAATTGGCACAAGCGGAACTTGTCTCGACTTTTGCAAGCTCATCACCATTTCATTTCAAGAAAGAAAGTATTGCGCAAAGAAATTTAGGATATCATTTTGTTCAACATGTTTTAGGGACGAGTTTATTAATTCGGACTTAATTTTGGAAGGGGAAAATAACGTGGAGTTATTTTTAAGATAGAAATGTTGGCGTCCCTACACTCTTAGAAATTCGGTATAAAAATTATACCAAACGGTATTCATGTATGACTCTGCCAAAATAGTACTGATAAGTAAATAACACCGTCTAGTAATAGCTTGGTATTAAAGTTTTACCATTTCGATAGCAAATGGTTTACGGATCGGTATAAATAATTTTATTATCAAACCCTAGCAATTTTTATACCGAGAAATAAATAGCTGCCTGATTATACCAGATTTCTAATATTGTAGAAATCCAGTATTAAAATAATACCACGCGGTATTCGCATATGCCTCTATGTACCAAAAGTGGTATTGATAAGTAATACCGTCTACTAATAAATAGCTCACTATCATAATTTTACCATATCTGTAACAAACCTTAACCGACCCCCGTATAAATAATTTTATTACCAAACAGTAACAATTTTAATACCACGAAAGCAATACCTACCTATCTACACCAGATTTTTAACAGTGGGCATCACCCAGACACGCCAACTTTTTTTTCACCCAAGTAAACACCCACCACGGTCCATTTTATTGTTTCGATTTTTTGTTATCTCCATTGCCAGACGCTTATGAACCATAAAGTGAAAGCTCATGTAATACAATTCATGGCAGGGAAGAAAGAAATATAGTGCTAAACACTAAACTGTTGTGCCTCGTAATAAAATGGATCGAGACCTTTGCGGATTTTCAGAGTCGACTCAAAATACATTTTCTCTTCCTCTGCCTCTGCCACTTTCTCTCTTCTTTTGAAGAAAGCGTGGCACGTCCCAAATTCGATCCCCATCTTCTTGTCATCATTACGACGTACAGACCTACTCGTCCTCCTCGTATTGACTCCCTCTTTCCTAGCACAATCTCAATCTCACACCCCACTTGTTTGACGACATTTTCCACAAGCAGGGTTTCCGGTGAAAGTAAGTAACCACTTGCAAGAAATAAAGGGGAGAAAGTGTTTTCTTGTAGGTAAATGTTTTGACCTGGGAGAAATGCAAGGTGCAAGAAACTACGTCCCGCAGCTATAAATAGTTCATACGGCGTGTGGCTAGATAGTGCTTATTTCTTGCACTTTTTCCGAGTTTCTTCCACCTCGTACTAGTTGCCTTTCTTGTTTTACACTACAAGAAATCTGCCAAAAGCAAGAAACGAAACGCTAAATACAGAAACAACGCTAACAAAGTAGTTTCTTGCAGCTATTTTGACCTGCAAGAAATGCAAGGCGCAAGAAACTACTCTCTGCCGATATACTTCATACGGCGCGTAGCTAGATGGCGCACATTTCTTGCACTTTCTCCCAGTTTCTTGCACTTAGAATCTTCCTTTTCGATGCAAGAAATGCAGCAAATCCTTAGAAACGGAACACTGTCCAAAAGAAGACGAAGCCCCGAACGAGAGGACAACTTTCTCTCTCTTTGGATAGAAGAAAGAAAGCAAATGAAACCTCAATTCAAAGAGGGGACACAAAAGTACACAGAAAACTTGAGCCTGTTCAAAATGAAGGTGTTATATCCAATCCAACCCACTTGACGTCGTGTACATACACCGTGTCGAGTAGCGAGTGGTGTAAAAATAAACAAATTATTTATTTACACAGTAATAACCGGAGTGGATGCAGGTGAAAGTGTGAATTTTTGTCTACTTTCACCCCCAAAAGTAGCTGCAGTCCTTTTCATGATTTTTGTGTCTACTTTCACCCCGAAATATTTGGACCGTCCTCACCTTCCAAATCCTCAAATACAGTCGACCAAATTTGTTCTTCTTGTAAAAACTCATTCCTCGCGATTATCCAGTCCCACGCTTTCACCGGGAGGGAATAAAGTCGAGTAAACAGTGGTCGTGGTTGTTGGGGAGGGAGGGAGATAGACCGTCAGTCAGAATGAGTTCGTATCACCTATCATTATTTTCAGCTCCCCTGGACAAGAAGATTCCCATTACGTTCGGCCCTGCCTAACCGAACAAGCAACCTTTTGTTTACACAGCACAAGGGAAATCGAACAATGAGATTCTTAACCAATTATCTTGATTCTTTTGCTCTCTCGATAATCTTGGAGGTGGACCAGCGTATGCGATCCGATTTTGGGGAAAGTAGTCTCAATCGATGACAAATTTGATTAGGATGAAATTTGCAAAAGACGCGATCTCCCAATGGGCACGTTTGGCAGAGATAGTTGCATCCGAAGAGGTGAAAGCGCGCAGTAAAGTGATAAACTTTACACTTTCCAAATTTACTGCGCGTTTTCTCCTCTTCGGATGCAAATATCTCGGCTAAACGTGCCCATTGAGAGATAAGGTCTTTCGCAAATATCATCCTAATTAAATTTGTCATCGATTTCCACTAATTTGCTTAAAATCGGATCGCATACGCTGCGAGACTTCCATTGGTAGACCGGAAAAAACTCGATATTCTTGTTTTCCCTGGTTTGTCAAGGCGTGAAATTACCTTCATTTCTCCCAATACATCTTCCGCCCACACACATAAGATTATTTATCGAGAAAAGAGAATGTTTTTCATGACGAAATACGTACTACATACTTGTCGAAACTATGCAGACTTTGGTTAGCAAGTAAGTAAGTAAATACTTTCACTAAATTCGGTCGGTGAAGAAAGTTCGCCCCACAGGCATACTTTGATCCAGAGGCCGCGGAACGGTGTGGACAATGTCCCCACGGTTGCTCGAGGTCCGCATCATCTCCCCATCTTATACAAACCCCTGCCCCCCCCCCCCCATCCTACAATGTTAATGTCCCCCACACCTTCTGCGGCCACTGCTTTGAGACTTCTTCTTCCCCCGCCGGAATATTTACTATTACCGTTTTAATTAACCAAATTAATCGACAATTGGGAAAAACACTCCATTTTCATTTACTTAATTAACTTTTCTATTGCTTACAAACTGCCTTGTTTTCTTCACGGGGTGGTAATTAATTTAAATGAAATGGAAGCAAGGAAGGAAATATTTAAGGATGTGGATGTCAGAATCGGAATTCTTGCCAAGTTAGGTATATACGTATGCAAATAGGGACATAGTCGAGAGAAATGTGGGATGGCACGATCTTCTCCTCGGTGAAATAGATTCAATTGAGGAAACTCATTTCCAATTCTGAAATCGTCTTTTAATTCGTTCTTTATTGGGTGCTTTACACATCTGGGAGGAAATCGCGACATGAAAACGTATTAGTATTAGTACCGCCGCAACGCGGTTCGGGTGACCTGTTCCGTTATTGAGGTTATGTTAACACGTGACAGAGGAGGTGAGACAAATTCTAAGAAAAATCCTTCAAAAAAGTAGGTACAAAATTTGGCACGGTGGAAAATTTGCACTTTTTTGCCTCCCGAAAAGTATGCATATTTTCTGCAGGAACTTGTCTCTTATTCAACCACGTGACACACGAGGACAAACAAAGTGAAACAAATTTATATTTAAAAATTCTATAAAAATAGACACAAATTTGGCACAGTGGAAAATGCTCTCTTTTTGCTCCCAAGAATATGGATGTTTTATGAATCAAACAACAGGAACCTGTCTCTTAATATGACCACGTGACACACGAGGTCTAAGAAGATGAAACACATTCTATAAAAAAAATTCTTAGAAAAGTACTCCAAAATTTGGCACAACGGAAAATTTCTTGCTTCCCGAAAGTGTGGGTATTTTGTGAGTCAAACTGCAAGGACTTGTCCCTTATTTCGGATTGTTATGTGACCACGTGACACAGGGTTGAGGTGGAGCTACTTCTAATAAAAAACCTCAATAAACTCGACCAAAACATTTCAAAGAAAGGAAAATTTGGCCCTATTTTCTTTCCCGTTAAGAGAAAGTGAATCATGGGAGGCCAAAAAACCGTCAATATTTATTATTAGCAATGCGTAAATATAGGAAAATATAGAACAGAACCGATGATATGACGGCCCGCCCGTGAAGTGAAAGTAGCAGGAATCCAGGAATCCATTATTTCCATGCACTACTTGCCACACATCGAAGTCGAAGCTCACTCCACTTTCCCCAAGATTGACGACCTATTCAAGTGTTTTGTCCCAATTACATGCCATACGACTTCCCAAGCCAGCCAGCCAGCCAGTGCATTAGCCAAAGCATTCCGGTTCACGTTCAAGTTGTGTGGCGTGGCGTGGTCACAAAGTCAGTCACATCATGTGGCCGCCGC